ACTTGGGGGAGGAGACCTTTCTTGGTTAATGTCACCAAAAATAAGGTCCTCCCCAGGAGGTGTGGGCTGGTTTACTTCAAGCTTTAAAGCTCTTCCTAGTCTAGAAAGCATCTGTGAATAAGAGGAAAAATCCTCTGAAGGAGACGAAGCATGTGGGTCCCCTGTATCAGAGCCTACAACCTCACCCTCACGTAGGTCTCCTTGGCAAGGTTGCGAGGGTAACTCCTGCTCAGAATCAGAAGATGCTGCTGAAGAGACTTCATCTGGATCAGATGAAGACATCCCGCTTCCTTTTGCAAGGGTGCCTTTCGACGTCATGATTGGAAGACTGAGTTTGTTGAGAGGAAATAGGGGCTGTTGATGTCGAGGGAACAGGCTCTACAGGAGGTGGTACTGGTGCCCTTGAAACTTTGATGTTGACCCGTCAACGTCGGTGGCAGCGACGGGGACGTGGAGACCCCGAAGAAGAAGAGGAGATGTATACATATTTCACCTTCTTATGCTTTCGACGTCGATCGCTCGACATGCAGGAGGAAGAATCAGAAGAGCTATATTCCCGTAGACGGCAACGGTGATGACGAGCCCTCAGTCTCTCAGAGTCATCAGAGTCTGAGGACCTATTCCGATGTTGGTGTTTGGATCGACATCGAGTCGAAGAGTGGTCTTTCCTTTTCGGCGAGCGCTTTTTCTCAGAGTCATCAGAGTCTGAGGACCTATTCTGACGTTGGTGTTTAGATCGACGTCGAGTCAAAGAGCGGTCTTTCCTTTTCGACGAGCGCTTTTTCCGAGGGGATTTCGACCTCGGACATGCTGATGAGACCAAAGAGCCGAAGATCCCTGCCCAAGAGGCGATTTTGACCTCGAACGCGCTGATGAGACCAAAGAGCTGAAGATCCCTGCCCAAGAGGCATTGGACTATGCGGGGCAGAAGTCAAGCCTGCAGTAGCTCCAGCAAGCTGACTCGACGTCGGAGATGAAACGCCAGCCGGGAGGGAAGGCTCAACTTGTCGAGGAGGGAGTGATGGGGCTGCCTCCAACAATGATTCATGGTCTCTCGACGAGTCCTCCAAAATAGGTGATGGCAAAGCCTTAGAAATAGGCGGTAGTTGAACGGAGGGTTCCTTAGTCTTGACAGGAGCCTTTCCTTTTGCTTGTTTTACAGATTTAGATGCAGCAGCAGAAGGCTTCGATGCCGAAGCGGATTTCTTTGAGGCAGTCGCCTTTTTAGAAGGTTTCGTGACTTTGGAGACAACTGGCTGAACAGAAGTTCCAGATTCAGATTGTGGGGTGGCCGAAGGTGAGGCCATTTCAAACTCAGAAGGTTGAGTAGAAGCTAAGGTAGATTCCCACAGGTGATACTTAAGATGCTGTTGCCTTGCTTTTAATGCAGCTTTAGTGAAAGCTTTACAATGTTTGCAGGATTTAGCGAGGTGGGATTTGCCTAAACAGAAAAGGCAACGATCATGCCCGTCTTGGTGGGGAATCTTCCTAAAGCACACAACACAACGGCTAAATGGCCCTGAAGGGGACATAAAAGCTGGAAAGTCTTACTGGTAGCCGTTAATAAGGCGGGGAAAAAGTCGGGAAAGTCCGAAGCAGCCAAAATCGAGGGGAAATCCAAAAACGGAGTAAAGCCAAGAAACGGTCCGCGTCAGGGAAGGGAACAGTTCACAAATTCCGTTCGATCCAATGTCAAAAGCCGGTAAAAATCAGTCAAATTAGCGAAAGTATATAGAGTTCGAAGCGAGAGGTTCCAAATACGGAACAGTTCACAAATTCCATTTGATCCAATGTCAAAAGCCGGTAATTAGTGAACAGTTTTAAAATTAGTGAAAGTATATAGAGCTCGAAGCGAGAGGTTCCAAATTGCTAGGCAGAAAAATGGAACTGAGGCTGGGGCGGGCGGAGCATGCACGGTATAGGCAGCCTTAAACTTGTTACTTTTCTCTTAAAGCTCGAGAATATTCCAAGAGGACCAACGCTGGCACACCCTTTTATGTGCATTCACAGAAGACCACGATGAAGAACACATCTTAATTTGCAGACAGTACCACAGTGAAAGGGGGGGAGAGCACATATTAACAAACCTTAAGCATATTAAAACAGATATTAAAGGTGGATAGTCGAAAAATCCCTGAATCTGTATTCATGAAACGTGACAGGAATCATCAATTCAGACATGACCACCATTCCCCTGAAATTTCAAGTACTGACAGGAAAAAAATCAAACAAGTAATGGCCATTATAAAGGAAAACCAAAGCAGCAGCTACATCACTAAGGGGGCACCATGTCTCCTTGTTATGCACAGTGATGTGATTTTTCAAATTTTCTGGACTACAAATACCATAATTCTCCATTCTGGGAATTCTACGTCCATTGCAGGCATCTTTCAAACGCCTCAATGTGATTCACCTGGATGAAAGGCTTCAATTAGAAGACCTTGAGGCTTAGTGAGGCCAAAGTCTTCCCAAGGTTCCTTCTGAGAAAGTTCCCAGCTAATACTCTGATAGGAACAGGAAGCCTGAACAGAGCTTGGCCTAGTCAAGCCTCAAAGCTTTCTAATTTAGGCATTTCTCTCAGCAAATCATCCAGAAAAATCTGAAAATCCTTAGACATGCACAACCACGGAACAAACAAATAAGTTGCTGCCATTGTAATTCCCCAGTGACAATAAAAAATGTCCAAACTTTGATTCAAATAAGAATCAGATCTGATCCATAATCTGAATCTCTCAGTCTAGTTCAGGACTGAACTGGGGATCCTTGGACAGCCCTACTTAGTAGGTATGGGACTTATTTTTTTTTTCACTACAGCATCCAGAATTCATCAGGAACAAGAATTATGGTTGCTGAAGCCAAAAAAATCTACGCCCTCAGAGGAGTTTCAGAACACACGCTTCTTCCTTGGCATGTCTCTCTCTCTGGGGCAAAACCCATGACCCTGAAGAACTAAATGGGTGGGTGTAACTAAACTCCATGGGAGCTGCTAGGGATAAGGAGGAAGCCTGAACAGAGCTTGGCCTAGTCATATGTGTAAACGGCGACACAGCACTTGTGCAGGCGCCTGTGCTCATGCGCAAATCAGCTGTGCGGGGGTGAGTGTGTGTGTGGGGGGAAGGAGGTCTGTCTCCACAGACTGGTCCGGCTCAGGCCACGGACCAGGGGTTGGGGACCTCTGGATTATGGAACTAGTAGTTTTTTGAAAGGCACTGTGTACAGAGCCTAATGAGCAGAGAGACTGCCTTGCAGCTACCATGGCATTTACCCACTCCCTTCCATTTACCCTTTCTTCAGGATAATCGTTATTACTCCCAAAGGGAGACTTTGCAAGACACAAGTGTGTGTTATAAAACTCCTCCGAGGACTTGAAATCTTTGGGTACAAATACCAAAATTCTGGATTGGGGAATTCCTAATGAATTCTTGAACCCCATGACCCTGAAGAACTAAATGGGTGGGTGTAACTAAACTCCATGGGAGCTGCTAGGGATAAGGGCAGAGGTCCCCAACCTTTTTCACCCTGCGGACCTGCTGGGGAAGGCGGGTCACCCCCCTGTGCTCGTGTGCATGCGTGCACAAGCGCGTATATGTGCAAACGGCGGCACAGCACTTGTGCAGGCGCCTGTGCTCATGCGCAAATCAGCTGTGCGGGGGTGAGTGTGTGTGTGGGGGGAAGGAGGTCTGTCTCCACAGACTGGTCCGGCTCAGGCCACGGACCAGGGGTTGGGGACCTCTGGATTATGGAACTAGTAGTTTTTTGAAAGGCACTGTGTACAGAGCCTAATGAGCAGAGAGACTGCCTTGCAGCTACCATAGCATTTACCCACTCCCTTCCATTTACCCTTTCTTCAGGATAATCGTTATCACTCCCAAAGGGAGACTTTCCAAGACACAGGTGTGTGTTATAAAACTCCTCCGACGACTTGAAATCTTTGGGTACAAATACCAAAAAATAGGCCTGAGAAAGATGTCACACGGAATCTGATGGTGAAAGCTGATTAAAAAAAATCAAGAATGATAACCTGAATTCAATTCACAGTTAAAATAGTGTAGTTCAACTTCCTGTACAAAACATGTGCTCAAGATCATTGCAATGCGGCAAAAGGTGAAGAAATCTGATCCCAAAATGGTGACAAGCGCGTATATGTGCAAACGGCGGCACAGCACTTGTGCAGGCGCCTGTGCTCATGTGCTAATCAGCTGTGCGGGGGTGAGTGTGTGCAGGGGGGGGAAGGAGGTCTGTCTCCACAGCCTGGTTCGGCTCAGGCCACGGATCGGGGGTTGGGGACCCCTGGATTATGGAACTAGTAGTTTTTTGAAAGGCACTGTGTACAGAGCCTAATGAGCAGAGAGACTGCCTTGCAGCTACCATAGCATTTACCCACTCCCTTCCATTTACCCTTTCTTCAGGATAATCGTTATCACTCCCAAAGGGAGACTTTCCAAGACACAGGTGTGTGTTATAAAACTCCTCCGACGACTTGAAATCTTTGGGTACAAATACCAAAATTCTGGATTGGGGAATTCCTAATGAATTCTTGAAGCTGTAGAGAAAAAAAAATCCAAAAGACCCATGCCTGCTATTTACTACAATTATATTTGTTGCTATATGAGAAGCAGACATTGTAATGGGAACATTTCTTGAATGAGCCTATGGACGGGACTGAAAGATTTACTGACATTCAAGTTTGGCTTTCTTCTGATCTTTTTTTTTCTTTTTTTAAAAAGATGCTAAAATATGATAAAACTGAACATTTGCCAAAAGTATCACAGAAGAATTTGTCTTTATATGCAAGCTACCCTAGTTTTAAGATCCTTTTCACTTCTTGCAATAATTAAACAAAGATGCTATTAAGCCTGATGAGCTATTGTACCATATTCTACAAAACTGTTAATGCTATGCTTTTGAGGGCATGCTATGTTCACTACTCGAGGACCATCTGTTGATTAATATTTAACTATTTCAGTCATCTAGTAGCAGTCTAATTTGTTTATTTTTACCTGGTCAAAGCTAGCTGCAATGAAGACAACAGACTTATAGACAAATTGAAGAGTATGCCACCCCAATAGGCTATGCCAGTGCCAAACAGGAAGAGAATCAGTGACACAAAAGGAAACCATAAGTTCTGGTTGCTTAATGTAACAGCATCCAACTCTGGCAAGAATAAGGAAGCCCACATTCTTTTAAACCAGTTAAACCTGCAAAAAGAAAAAAGGACAATATGATGGTCAGTTGTTGTGATTACTTCAGCTATCAAAGTTAGTAATTTATTCCTAGCTACAATCTGATTTACACTAACAAAGAAGTGCCCTTGTCTCCACCACAGTTCCAAGGTTGTGAAATACAGACACCTGAAATTTGGTGTTTCTGATAAGGGGAGCAGAGGTGATATTTGGTTTTTTAAATGGATTCATTAATTGCAGTTAATTTAGAGCTGTTTAAAGCTTGCAGAATCCAGATGATAGATCCCATAACCAGCAGTCAAAGCTGCAGTTGAGTTTGCCATTGTTGTTTACTCAAAGGGCTTTCAGGTAACGCCTTATGGGCCTCAGGCACTATAGTATACAGGAAGTCAACACAATAGACACAACTGCAGCTTATTTCTTCAGAGCCTCAGACACTTCAGAAAGTGAAGAGAGACAAAGAGAATTTTAGAAATGTTTGCTGAACAGTAAATTGGTTATTTCTATGTTAAACAGGAAGACAAGCAAACTGATGCATCCAATCTCAAAATAACTTTTTTTTTTGGATCTTTTTCTTTTTTTTATTTAGGAACAAGGATAGAGGGTACAAAAAGAAAGAGGGGATAGGAAAGGAAAAATGGTTTTTCAAAATAACTTATTGAAAGTAACATTAAAACATAAGTTTAAATTAGTTATTTCTGGAAGATTAGGTCTACCATCCCCCTATTTAACATAATAGTAATGCATTATATCTAAACTCTGCAGCTACCTGGTGAGCTTGGAGAGGAAAGGGAGCAGAAGGAAAGTGTGAATGAACCCTTGGGTGGAGGGAAAGACCGGTCATTAAGAAAAGGGGGGCGGGAAGTGGAGGGGGAAAGAGAAGAAAAAGAGCACTAAGCTACCAAGACAGAAAGAACACTGGGCGGGCAAGAGGAAAGAAAGAACACTGAGACAGATGAGGAAGGAAGGAAGGAAGACCACTGGATCAATGGGTGAGGGTGCAGAGAGAACACTGAAGGGTGTAGAAGGAAAAACGCACCGGTAGAATTGGGAATGAAAGGTGTTCTAACCTAGAAATGGTTTCTAAACTGGGTACTTCTGCTAGTGAATTGGGAATGAAAGGTGTTCTAACCTAGACTGGGTACTTCTGCTAGTGTAACAAACACACAAAGAGAGAGAGAGAGAGAGAGTATGGAAATACAGAAATATGGGATGGAGTCTCTAAGAATTATGCACTGCAGTGCAAACTATATAAGGAAGGGACATACCCGTATAAAAATGTAAGAGCATTCACAATAGGTTCCACTTTATAGGGTTTGGCTGCTTTAGTAAGTGCAGAAACAAAATCTAAACACTGACCTAAAACAAGAAAAAATATCAGAAAGCAGGCATCCACAACAACTTACAGAAATAATACTGAGAAATGTAAGGTAAACTGTAAGATGTATTACCTTACTTAATTTTTTTCATTACAGTCATTGACCAGCAAAGTATTACCTTACTTAAATATAAAGCTGTTGCACTAAGCCAGTAATTGTAGTTCTTCGAGTGAACTTCTGTGATTCAAATCCTGGGTAATCCGTGCATCCATGGAGCCTCATCAGAATTTATTTATTTATTTATTTATTTATTTATTTATTTATTTATTTATTTATTTATTTATTTATTTCTATCTATCTATCTATCTATCTATCTATCTATCTATCTATCTATCTATCTATCTATCTATCTATCAAATTTATACCCCACCCATCTAGACCGAAGTCTACTCTGGGTGGCTAACAATAATAGATAAAATAAAAACAATATAATAAAATAAAAAACGACAGTAGTAATATAGCTCAAGGTGGGGAAAAATATTCAAGTGATGACAGGAGGGAAAGCCTGCCTAAAAAGCCAGGTCTTAGGTTTGCTCTTGAAAACACCCAGCGAGGGAGCCAGACAGATCTCTGCGGCAGACTGTTCCAAAGGCGAGGGGCCATTGCCGAGAAGGCCCAGTTTCTTGTTCTTTCTCTTCGGGCCTACCTCGGTGTTACGCCCCTCAGCCCCCCTTCCTGGCTAGAAAAAGTGACTTGGGTAGATCTAGGTGGGAGGAGGTGGTCTGCTACATATCGAGGTCCTAAACTGTTTAAGGCTTTATATGTCATCATTAACACTTTGAATTCAATGCGGAAACGAACGGGCAACCAATGCAAGGCAGCGAGAGTGGGGGAAATATGCTGATATTTTCTCATCCCACTGAGAAGTCTGGCCACCGCATTCTGCACTATTTGAAGCTCCCACATCAATCTCAAAGGTAGCCCCACGTACACAGCATTATAGTAGTCTAATCTTGAGACTACAAGCGCATGGACCAGAGTGGTGAGTGCCCCAACATCAAGATAGGGATGCAGTTGGGCAATCCACCACAGATGGAAATAGGCAAAATGGACCACTGACGCCTAAGAGAAGGTTTTTTAAAAAATAAATGACAAATGTTTTTGGAATACAATTGTCGTCATCATCTTAGAACTGCAAAGTTGGAAGGGCCCTTATGGATCATCAAGTCCAGCCCCTGTCAAAGAGGCACAGTCGGGAATTTAACTCCCAACCTCTGGCTCTTCAGCCAGACGGCTAAGTCTCTGAGCTATCCAGTAGTTCCAAACCCCTATAAAGAAAACGTATGGAGTAGGTAGAATATATAATCTCACATACAGTACTACATTTTGCAGCACTTATCTGAGTGATATCAATAATTATGCATATTGAGATTTCAGATATGTCAGAATAATTGCTTCAGTTGTTAGTGTCACATTATTCTTTGACATGAGTGCTAGTCTGTTTAGCCTCCATGGTAGCTAACACACTGTTTATTGTGCATGCTTCTAGGCATTAAAGATGTTTTTCTTCTTTGCATTAGCACAAGTGATATTTACAAGTTTCCACACACACACACACTTGGAAGCACAGATTTGTTTATTTATATTTTTCTTAATTTATTATATGTATATTGCACATACATATTTGTGTTACATAATTTAAAAGATGGCAAAACTTTTAAAAGATATTTCTGCAAGAGTCAGTAAGCTAAAATGTGACAGATCTTCACGCTACCCTATTTTAACAGTTTCATTTTCTTTCATTCTACTTGGTAAAAATCACCGTAATAAGAAGAAATCTAAATAATATGCACTATGAAGCAAATTTTTCAGGTTTTATAATGATACATAACATGTGCCTAAAATATTTTAATGTAATGTTACCTGTTGAAATTAAGGACCTTTGTTGTCTCCCATACGCGAGAAGAATATTAGAAATAATGTACACGGGAAGGGCACCACCATAGAACCGTATTACCTATTTTTTAAAAAATGTTTTATAGAAAAAAAGCATACAAAAATCATCCTATGTTTATGAAGAAAACAATTCTGTACTTCCATTACACATATTACATGCTATCCACTATCTCAGTATTCCTTATAGACCCAAAAGACATTTCTGTACAGTAGGGTTAAAACTGCAACAGAGTACGTAACTTGCCTAAAGTCACTCATTAAGTTCATGGGTGGACTGAGAGTGAATCAGACTTCTGACACATACTGTTAAGAAAAATACTAAATTAGCTCTCCAAAGGTTGACATTTTTAAAAGACAAGTTAGAGTCTGTGCTAATGTTCTCTTCATCTGTACGATAGCACATCTTCCAGCAACCCTGCGATAGCACTCGAGCAGTTGCCAAACTGCTACTCCATTTTCAACTTCCATGGGCTCCTTAGAAAGCCCATCAGAATTAGCACGTGGGAAGAGGAATGAAGGGGTAGCAGTGTTTTGTGTGTGCCTATAAGCCTACAAAACTGTACATACTCATCACAATCATAAAGTTTCAGACAATAATAACAAAACATTCAGAAAAGCAAGCTATCTGTTCAATTCAACAATTCCCAATTCATCAGCCACATAGTATAACCTACTAGGTGCCACTTTTGGGGAGCCCCAAGTACAAGAAAAAACAAAAACCACAAATAGGTGTATATATCTCCTGGGGACTGCAATTCATGACTGCTGGGTCTCGAGCATAACAGGTTGTGCAGAATTGGTTTAAATGAAAACAACTAGGATTTAAACAAATCTGAATTTGGGATGTACCATTTTGCTGCTGGCACACCCTAGTCAAAGACATCTATTTATTTAAGGCTGTTACATCTACTTAGGATTTCATCATGCGATATCACGTAATGCCATCTGTGAAACTGACTCAGGGTTTACCCACAGACTCTTAACTGAATTACAAACAACTTGCATAGCAGCAACCACTAGGGGGATAATTCTTACAAGTTGCAAACAACCACATGAAGCTGCAACACCGTCAAGACTGCATATTTTTAAGCAAGCTGCAGTCTTGGAGTGCAAGGATTTAAACCCTTTTGCCTGGCTTTGGCTCCCTCAAGGAACCAGTCTCCTGACGTTCTTCTGAAGAACAAGGCTTCTTCCACTTCATGGCTGGCAGGTTTCTAACCTGTGTCCTTGATAAGAGAAGGGGAGTTGATTTGGCAGAGGACTTGGGTGGGAATGTTATCGCTTTGCTTCCTTTCAAACGATATTATGTAGAGATGGGCATGAACTGCTGGTTGTGCCTGTTTGGCTGACGGCCGCACAGCGGATCTGCAGCTCAGTGCCCCATCCCCTCCAGCAGGTGCCCACTTGGAGGCAGCTGCCAGAGGAGGTGGAGCAGGGAAGCTGGGGCGCTGCCTCTGAGTGGGTGTCTACTGGAGGGGGCGGGGTGCCCAACAGCAGATCAGCTGTACAGTTGTTGGCCGAACCAGCACGAATCAACAAACCGGTGGTTTGTGCCTATCTCTACATAGCACCAAATGTGGGTTTAAAGGTGTTCTGAGGCTTGAGCTAAATTGTTGCCCTTAATCAAATCACTCGTCTGTTCTTCATGTTATGTGGTTCCTTGCTTCCTGACCGTACAATACATACACTGGCTGAAAACCAGTAGTAAGCCAGAACTAGAGTGGGCCCATTAAATCAATGAAACTTAATGCAGGAAGTGGCTCATTACATCCCCACTGATTCAATGGGCTTACTATATTTGCAACTTATTACTGGATGTCAGCTACAGGGTTTTGCCCAATGCTGTAGTGTGACGGCAAGAGGAGAAGGGGACGACCGAGGATGAGATGGCTGGACAGTGTCTGCCAAGCTACCAATATGAATTTGACCCAACTCTGGGAGGCAGTGGAAGACAGGAAGGCCTGGCATGCTCTGGTCCATGGGGTCACGAGGAGTCGGACACGACTAAACGACGACATAGTGTAGTGACAAGGAATATAATAGCTGCACCTCCTTAGATCAGACTTTGCCAACTTTGCATTTCCAGGCATGTTTGGAAAATTACTCTAACCTTCCAGAAATACTGGTCATGGTTGTTGGGGATAAAGGCAGTTTTAGTACCATTTATTCTGCTGACCCAAGGTTAGAGAAGATTGCTTAAGGCCAGAGCTGGGCAGTGCCCAACCCTTCAGAGGTGGTTGGATTGCAAGCCTCACCCATGGCTAGCATGACCAGTGGTGATGAGTAAGGTTGCAATCCAAAAACAGGTGGTGGGCCACAAGCTGTACACCTCTGCCTCGGATGGAACAGAGTGTTTTTCTTTGTTTTCCAGCCTCTGATACACCAGACTCCATGGAAGGACGTGGTTGGGTCCGGTCGGGCAGGCTGGGCAGACCTGCAGCGCATGCACACTTTGGGGACAAACCCTAAATGCTAATAGGACTATCCTTTTTGAAGTATTTCCTATTGCTACAACCACACACTACGCTAATAATAGTTGATTTAGTAAGGTGTATTAAATTACAAATCTCCTGACCTTAAGCTGATAACACATTAAACAAAGTCACCAGATAAATGAAAGGATCGTACCTGACCAAGAACTTGAAGAAAAGAAGTCTTGATAGTTACCTAATTTAACACACATATTAAAAACATTTTAACAAGTTAAAATAAAATAACATTAAAATATTAAAAACATACCCATGGTGATGATTAAATATTGCACGGTATTTGGGGATGGAAGTGTCTTCTAACCTGATGCATCAGTTCCAGGCGCTCCCTGATACTGCTAGCTTAGCCATAATAATCTACAGCAACCTCTAGATAAGGCTACTGCAAAGTCCGTATATGGCCCAGCTGATTGCCTATTTTGCATGGACAGTTTTAACCTGAAAGCACCAAACAGTTTGAAACACAGTTTTCTGAAGGCCAACCACATTATTCATTTGAAACCCTTCTGTACTTACAGTACTTGCTTTCTGAAGTCTGATGGCTGATCATTAGAGGTGGCCCTCATTTGTGAAAAACAAGCCTTCCACAGGGAGATTTTCCTCATATAAACACTGATGACCTTTCAGAATCAGAACTAAGCTAAGACTATTTTTTAAGCATTTGACTATTTGTCCAGGGTTTCTAGAACATCGTCTAGCTGGCTTTTTTCTGTTGGTTTCATTGTTTTAATTTAACTGTATTTCATTCTTGTCACTTTTTATTATTTTGTCAATTGCTGTATTAAACAAAGAACATCATATACATGTGTTAATTAGAGGTGGGATTTTAATAATTACAGGACTTCCAGTCCTAGACGTCACCTAGTATCCCCCAGACAGCCTTCTGGGACTGAGAGAACAGAAAAATCATGGGAAGGCAGTTCACTGAGGAGCTGTCTGTATAGAATCTAATAGGTAGTGAGACTTCCTCTCCCACGGAGCAGTGAAATAACCCCCAGCAAGTAGTGTGAGTGACGAAATGGGTCCTCCTGATTTCTCAGCCAAAAAATGTACAGTGAGACAGACAATGACAGCAGGAAGACCTCTCTATTTGGCCTTCTTCTTCCACCTCACCCAGTTCCAAAAGCCTGCTTCGGAGATTCTAGGCAACATTTGGGACTGCAAGTTCTAGCACTCCAAAAACCCCATCCCTAATGTTAATGAATAAAGTAATTAAAACTTCTAAGTATTTTAATAAATTAAAACCAGAATATGAGGTCAGTTATTATGCAGCAATGAAAAAATTGATGCAGAAAAATAGGGAGAAAACTAGCATTTGGTAAACTTTTATAAATGGGTTCAAAATAGCTTTTAATCTTGGTTTGAACGTTGACAAATGTTTAATTGCTTTTGAATATACAGTAGTATTTAATTGTATTTTTAAAAACGTGAGAATTACATATTTTCAATTTTGTGAGCCACCTTAGTTCCCCTATGAGGGGAAAGGTGGCTTATTTAAAAATAAATAAAAATTTTACTTACTTCATACTGACAATCTGAAGATGAATAAATATTCAACAATGGTACTGCAGTGTTATTTTCAGGTTGCGCAGTGTGTAGCTTTGCAGAAATCTCAACAGAAGATGGAACCCTAAGGTAGTTACGTGAAGTACATACATTTAATGTTAGTGTGCAATGAACAGTAACCCAATCAGCAAAAGAAAACTTTATTAATTCTGATATGAACTGCAAGCAGTCCACACCAACATAAAATAGAAACTTAAATTCCCATAGGGAAGATACATAAGATTTTATTGCAGAGGTACACTTAAAACAACGAGTCCTAACGCAGATATTCAAAAGTTCTCATATTTTAACAAATGGCTGAATAAATTTGTATAGAGTGTGAAACCAGAACTGAATCTAGTTTGCAAACTGTGATTAACAGAGGAACCATGATTAGCACTACTACAAACATTACATTTTCGCATGGTTAAAGACAGAAAAGGGAGAAAGGAAGTTGGTAAGACAGCTAGTGAAAGAAGTACTTAAGCCCATGATTAAGAGATCAGCTTAAGAGACCAAGCCAGAGCCTGAACCTTTTCCAAGTAAACATTATCGAGTCTAGAAGTTGGCATAAGACACGGAAAGCACCATGATAAACCCACATCTATGAGGATTTGTGGGAAAATATCCCTTTAGCAGGAACCTCTTCACTAGATCTTTCCTTGAATATCCAAACCCATTTCATTAGCTGCAGCTCCCACTGGAGAAAAACAATATGCTCTCCTATTTTTTTCCATTTCTAAGTATAGCTTTCATTTTGTGAATGTTGGAAACAAATCAGACTTCCCTCTGGACTATGTTTCAATGTCTTTCAGATATCCAAAAATTCTCCAGCACTCTTGAGAACGCTGTAATTAGATTATCTAATTCCCTCCCCAAACTGTCACATGCATTATAGTACTGCAAAAATTCATTCATATCATATATGAAAGTCATTTACAGCATGATACTTCTCTTTGATGGATAGACAGCAGAGAATGAGAAATCCTTACTGGGACAAAGTTAAAGTGTCTTCATGGGACCATGGTATATGAAGTCGGTAGATACTAGGTTTTCTTTCTGAAAGATACAAACAAAAGCATATAATGGAGCAGAATACTTTTTACCACAGTCACATCAGATCACCATTTAGACCTCACTGTGACTAAATCTTAACAATAAAATGTCACCTTTTTTTGCAAGGGTGGTTACCCAAAACAAATAATGATTTGCATCAGGCCAATATTATGTTTCCCAAGCTCCATATGAAGCACACATAACATCTAGAATTTCTTTATCCTACTCATCCAATTTCTACATTTCTCCCCAACCCTGTAATGCCCAGGAAATACCAGACAGCAAATTAAGAATAAATACAAATATAGATCAAGAAAGAAATTCTATTTTTTTCATTAACAATATGCTTTCTGAGTATCCCAAAGGTCAACTTTCTAAATCAAAGATAATTTGTTCCTGTGGTACTGATACCACTCTGATGGCAGAAAGTGAGGAGGAATTAAAGAACCTTGTAATGAGGGTGAAAGAGGAGAGTGCAAAAAACGGCCTGAAACTCAACATCAAAAAAACTAAGATCATGGCCACTGGTCCCATCACCTCCTGGAAAATAGAAGGGGAAGATATGGAGGCAGTGACAGACTTTACTTTCTTGGGCTCCATGATCACTGTGATGGAGACAGCAGCCATGAAATTAAAAGACGCTTGCTTCTTGGGAGAAAAGCGATGACAAACCTTGACAGCATCTTAAAAAGCAGAGACATCACCTTGCCAACAAAAGTCTGAATAGTCAAAGCTATGGTTTTTTCTGTCGTGATGTATGGAAGTGAGAGTGGGACCATAAAGAAAGCAGACCGCCGAAGAATTGATGCCTTTGAATTGTGGTGCTGGAGGAGGCTCTTGAGAGTTCCCTGGACTGCAAGAACAAACCTATCAATTCTAAAGGAAATCAACCCTGAGTGCTCACTGGAAGGACAGATCCTGAAGCTGAGGCTCCAGTACTTTGGCCATCTCATGAGAAGAGAAGACTCGTTGGAAAAGACCTTGTTGTTAGGAAAGTGTGACGGCAAGAGGAGAAGGGGA